ATGGCATTGGAAGGTTAGGCCTTCCAATTGGAAGGTTAGAAGAGATTAGATTGCCCGTTCCAACATGTGAGGACCCATAGAAGGTTTTATCTATGAACCAGAAAGTGGGCCCCTAACAGACACCAAATCTGCTGGTGCTTTGATCTTGTATTTGTCCACCTTCAGAACCTTAAGCAATAAAATTTTGCCATTTATAGATTACTCAGTGTCCAGTATTTTGTTACAGCAGGATAAAGAGAATAAGACACTATTTTATTTCCACCTCATTTCCTTCTTTCTCCTACCACAAAGCCTTTGCAGAGAAGAGATTATAAGACAGAGAAAAGACACGATGCCTGTATCGACACAGAAATACATGAAAGGTTTTCTAAGAAAGTCAGTCAGTATTGGGAAGAGAAACCCAGATTTGGCTTGATGCTGAACTCTGAAGAATTGGAAGACCCTAAAAACTTTATAGATCTAATGCTGCCATGCCAAGTTGACCTGAGGTTATGGGCAAGGGAGGAAGAAGGAGAGTGAGAAGCAGGTGAAAGGGAAAAGAAATAGAAAGGGAATGCAAAGAGGAAGAAAACCCCCAATGTCCACATGAATTGAATTCAGAAGTATGAGTCGGTGGGTTGCATGCCCTCTGTATTATATGTTTAGATATAAAAGGATTTTTACTCTGATGATGAGATGTACTCATCTACTCTTCCAGATATGTTGTTCATGATGAAGTCCAGTCTTTTCTGGGCACTGGAGACTGATGTGGATTATAATGTAGTCCTTGCACTAGCATCACTCACAGCCTAAGGTGATGGCAGGCAATAAAATAGAGAAGAGTCATCATGGAGGGTAACTGCATGACAAACTGAGCATCTTACCCAGACTTGGATTTTCAGCAGGACTTCCCAGAAGAGATGTGGAGGAGTTGAGTTTTAAAAGATGGGTTTGAATTATCCAGATAATGAACAGGTAACAAGAGAAAGACTTAACAGATGAAGAAGAAGAAAAAGGAGGAGGGGGAAGGAGGAGGGGGAGAGGAGAGGAAGAAAAAGAAGGAGGAGGAGGAAAGAGAATAAAGAGGAGGAGAAAAAGAAGACTACTATTCTTGGCAAAAGGATCAGCTTGTGAAAAGAACTTGACAATGAAAAGCTTGTATAGCTCAGTGTGCTTGGACATAGGAGTGGGAAGGAAAGACAGGCACTAAAACAAGATTTGGCTCATGGAAGACCTGTGTTCCATGCTAGGCACCGAAACTATATTCTGAATAATATGGAACCCATCGCATTCCACAGAACTGTGATCTTAAGTCACTGAGATGGAACTACTGGAATTTCTTGGATGGCTCCAGAAGCTTACCTCTGGTTCCTAGGCTCTGATGTTTGGTGCAAATTTTATGCAGCTTTTGGCTTCTTGTTCTGCCTTGGGATCAGAGACTGACTCCCCTGGCTCCCAGGATGGGCTTATTTTCATGGTATTGGTCCACTGGGTGGAGCCTCTATAGGTGGGTCCTTCCAGAAAGGAGCTCAACACGCATGATGTCAGAGGGGTGGGGCTCCGGGAATGGAGTGGGGTGTAGCAGCTGCTGTGGCAGTCTCCCTCTCCCCACCTCAGCAAATGCAAACAAACCACTGCTCAGGCCTCTGAGAAAGGAATCCTTTCACTTTTGGAGAGATTTAACTTTTCCTAAGACCTAAGTTATTCTTAGAGACTATCGGGTTGTGAAAAGACCTCAGGCTTTATTGTTGAACGGATCTAGAACTGGATCCTGGTCCTGTTACAAGCTGGGAGAACTTCCCCTCAGTTTCCCTGAGTTGTAAGCAGAGATAATGATGTCTCTCTTACAGGGTTACTAGGTACACCAAGGGGTGAGGGGCATGCATCTTTAGCAGTACATGTTCGGCCTCCAGAGAACTTTCTTCTTTTGAACTTTCTCTTATTGGGCATCCAGGGCCAGCTCAGTTCAACTTTTCTGCCCCAATAACAGAATGAGGGAAAAAATTTATGTGAAAGCTTGAGTGCCATTGGTGAAACTACGAAAATTGGGTAATTTCCTCAATTATATTAGTAATTGATACTAAGCTGGGGGGGGCACTGTAGATTGATGAAATCAGGCTGCAAAAAGCCTAGGACTCAAAATAGCAAGACATGAGCTCCTCTCTCTATTTGTGCCTTCGGTCAAGTCAAAATAAGATCCTTTCCCGTTTCGATGGCTTCCAGGACAAGTTCATAAAAGATGAGATGCCAGCCAAGTCAGGCTTTAGTGGGGAAACATATATTCTTATCTGTTCACAAAAGTTATATGAGTTTCCATGCGGGCCTGCAGCTAAGGAAGAAGAAATTCTTCCACGGGAAAAGAGTTAAAAAGTTCATGCTTCAAGAATGAATCATAAAATATTCCAAGAATGTCAGAGAGAAATATGACATACCCCAGGGGACCCCCAGGGAGAGTGAGAGAGGAGAACAGCTGGAGCTGCCGCACACTGAGCCCTGCACAGTCTGTCTGCAGCTTGGGTTACTAAGAGTTGAGTATGGTGCAATGCCAAGATGGGCCTTCTCTCCATTGCTTCTCTCCCTGCTTTCTAGATACAAAAGTCCTCTCCCGGGGTGAGCCCACGGACACTGTCTCCAACTTCTGCTCATTGGATAGGATAACTACCTTTGGAGTCAAGTACATCTGGATTTGAAACCCAATCCTGCTACTTACTGTGTGGTTTTGGCAAGTTAATTTATCTCTCTGAACTTCCATTTCTTCATCTACTGAACAAGAATAAAAATATTAATTACCCAAGATTTTTAAAAAGACTCAATGACATGAGGCTATAGTCTTTCACCCAGTATCCTAGGAGGGGCTCCATCAACGACAGCTAATATTTGGGAAGAGGTCGGTTGGGTGAATTGGCCATATGCTCTAGGCATGGCTCAGGCCCTCTCTGAATCACCCGGTCTCAAGAGATACGTTCAATTTTTGAGACTAGCTTTCGTCTGCAACCACAAATCTAGAGATCTCTAAAGTAGTGAGTGAGAAAGGAGGGGCATAGATCTCTCCAAGCAACACAGAGGAATAAAGGGCATTTCCAAGAGGCAAAGTGGCCAGATGAGCAGGCCTGGCTACTGACATGGATGACTGATGTCTTTCAGGTACTGCTTATTTGCATGATTCATAGAAGTCAGCCCCAGGATTCTTAAGAAAGGCACCAAGCACAAGGACTGATGAGGAGCTACAGGTTGACAGTAGCTCCCAGGAAATCTATCCCTGGGTGGGCAGCAGGACTGACTGGGGGAGCAATTAATTCAGTTGTTGGAGGTGGAGGCACAGGTTCTGATTTTGAACAGCCTGATTGTGAGACTTGGCCCTACTAATTGCAAACTGTGGGACTTTAGAACATTACTAAGCTTCTTAGAGGTTGGGTACATACTAAGGACTCCATGATCAGGATAGGGGTTCCAGTCCTGGATTCAGAGGTGAGTATAAAAGGGCAAAGGACACTGGGGTGCATGGAAAGAAAGAAGGACAATGTGATTCTAGTGGTCAGAATCAAGTACAAAAGCTAAACACATTTAGCAGCAGAACAAACATAAAAAAATATAGACCCATAGACAACTTAGTGTAGAGGAAAAAAGGGGGAGAGTCAGGCCAAAGTGTAGCTAGTAATAGCTCATCCTAAGTGAATACTTATTTATGCTAAGCTTTGTGTACGTGTTTGAGACATTTGATAAAATACAGTTCTCTGTGGTAGGCATTACTATCTTTCACTTAACAAATAAAGAAATTAAGACTTTAAGAGATGGAACTGATCTAAAGTCAACCAACAAGCAATTATTTTGAACCTGGATTTGAACCCTGATATATCTAATACTAAAGCCCAGGTTCTTAGCCATAAGAACCTGTTCTCCTCAAACCCACTTGACCTCCCTTCTAGCAGATTGTTTATTTTTATTCAAGTAGCAAACATGTTTAAAGCACCCATCTGTGGCAGCTGCTTTTGATGGGCTGATCTGTACTGGGGTCCTCAATCACTCTTGTCAACATAGAGAGGAAGTTGCACCCTTAAAGGAGCTCTGCCTTGGGAGTCAGAAAGACCCAAGTAACCAGTAAGACAATGCTGAGATGCTGGGCAGTTTTCAACATCCTGTCCCCTCGAGTCTACCTCAAAGGACACCTAGCTCATGCAAATGTGGGCATGTTGACTTACACTGAAAATGGTACCACATAAGGAATCTGGGTCTCTTGAGTCAGAAGACCTGGTGGATGGTCTTGAACTGATCATTTAGGTGCCAGAACCTTAGTCACTTATGGCAAAACCAAGGCTTAGGACTAGAAGCCTACAAAGGCCCTCTTGAGATGACAGAATGACTTTGGCATTAAATTAAATTTCTGAGCTCAATTCCCACCTTTACTGCAATCTTACTCTGTGATGGGACTAAAAATCATCGAGTGTCCTCCTTCTTGCATTCAGTCCATTGTCTCTCCTCTCCCCCAAAATTCTCCTGCTAATGTGTGTGTCAGATCTCTCATCTGGAAGAACCAGGACCTCACTCCTAAACAGGGCATTGGGGTACAATAGCACGACACTCTGGGTGGTACATTATCGTTGTACGACTCAGATCCACTTGCTTTTTATAATAAGTTCAATCCAACTGGGAATAGAGCTTATGGGATTCTGATTGTTTTCTTTCACAAGGAAACTTATAGGAGGAAGAGAGTAGGAGGAACTAGTCCCAGACACTTCAGTTGGTCTCCCTGCTGCAGCAAATACTCATCACTTCTCTCTCCTTACTCATTTTATATGTCTCTCACCTGCGAGCACATCTGCTGATCTGGGTAGTGTAGTTGGGGGACACAATTAATCCATAAGTAATCCTTATTCATGATATGTCTGAGCCCCAAATCATCATATCCGCTTACTGTCAAAATTGGTCAAGGGGATACCAAAAGATGACCTATTGAATCCCCAGGGTGCCAAACTTATATCTCCCTGCCCTCATGGCAGAACAAAAACCCCACTCTCTACTAATTACTAGTCAGTGAACCCTGACTAAGGTAATGATTTATTTCTTTATTGGTTGAAGACAGTGATAGCTTAAAGTTTAATGGGATTCTTGAAGTGAACCTGGTAGAAGAGTTTTTCTTTGGGACCCAGGATATCCAAATTTGCTGAGTCCAACATAATGGAGATGAAAAGCACAAATTTCCTTAGACAGATCATAGAAGTAGTGGTAACTGAGACATCTCTACTTCCACTCCCTGGTTACTGAATCCTCAAATTCTTCCTACTGGGAACGTAGAACTGTATAATGTTTTCTGTTTATGCCTGTTTGTTGCATCCTGGAAGAGGGTGGTCATCTTTGGTAGGTTCCATTTCGAATCTAGTGCTTTAGATGATTCTTAAAAAAAAAAAAAGTCATTTCATCACTCCATCAGAGTAGCAGATTCTGAATTATGCAATTTATGACAGGACCTATAAATCCTATCAGGTGTCACGCTTTACCTCTTTTATTAGGAAGTGGATTCAACAGTGTAATATTTTGTAGAATCTCTTGTTGATGGATCAAACCCTTTAAATTCTTGAGTGGTATTTCTGGACAGAAACCTGTAAAGCAGAAAAGGCAAATCTACAAGCAGAAAAGGCAAATCTATCCCCATCATGATGAATCACTGCCCCTTCAAATTTATCCCCAAGTGCTTGGTATGTTTCTTTAAGGAAGGGTTTCTGATGCCATCTGGTTGGCCTTTTGGCAGCCACACACAATCAGATCAGATCTTATGAATGGGATCCCATGCTGACGGACTAGATTGATGAGTTAAATGGGAGCATGATAGGGGTCACCACCCCTGCATCCCTTTGGTCTTTGATAATTTTATCTTCCTCCCATCTTCTTGAGATGAAATGTTCTTTTTAATTTACTATATTGGCCAGTTGGAACCTAATTTTAGAGGCTTTTGTTTAGCCTTACCTACTTTAATATCTCAGTCACAAGCCAAGGAACCAATGTGAAGGTTTTGCCAACTACCAATTACATCCATTCCACTGATGTACTTAGAGACCAATAAAATATACAGCAGATGGTCTGTGGACCCAGTGGACATACTTTGACCTGGACTTGGGCCAGGACTCCATTTATTTAGTGGTCCCCATATACCCATATTTTCACATGAAGGCCTTGATAATGCTTCTGATTCCTAAGTGAAAATGTCAACCCAGAACCTGTGATCAACAGTCTCCAAAATATCTACATATTCCCCTCTTCCAAGTACATGATATCTCAAGGAAAAGCTGTAAATCCCTTTGGTGAGGTTTTTTTTGGAAATCTTTAGCAAATGCACTTCTTTGTTCTTGTAAGGTTCTTTATCTCAAGAGTATGGTCTCTCCCTCATTCAGTAGATTCTGAGCCTGAACATTAACTCAGGTCCAGAAAATGCAGTCTCCTGATCATTCATTCTTTAAGCCTTTTGAGTATAGATTGACGAGGACCATTATTGCCCCTGCATAAAGCTTGCCTCCAGAGACACTGTATCCTATTGACTGTTGTCATGGATTGGGTTTTTCCTGACCTTGCTACTCTGACCTTGCTTCCAGTGACTAAGTGTCACCAAATGATCCCTATTATTTTTGAGATTCTATCTTCCCCCTTGCTGTCAGGAAGCCCAGCTCTGTGACACTATCTCCTAGCATTATCTCACATATACCTAGGATTAGCTATCTGGGTTTTTCAACAACACTTGCTCTCTGACTGTTCCTTTTCCATTGCTTTGGTAAACAGTGTCCCCTACAAGTTATACTAGCAGGTTTTCTCACCTTACTTGTATGTCCATTCTAATATGAACACTTCTTTTTAATCCCTTCTCTCCTCTTTCATGGCCCTCTGTCAATCCTACCTCATCTAATGTTGAAACTTTCATGAAGCTTCTGGGGTCATTACAATAGGATGTTAGTATCCTCTCTCAGGGTCCTTCCCAGGGTGTTAAATCCTATATCATGGCATATTATTCTCATTCCAATAAATGACCTACTTTATGCCCTGCTTTCCTGATCCATTTGGATTCAGATTCAAACATACCCTTCCAGCTCCACTAGTTTATTTTATCTGGATCTTTTAGCTCTTTCAGGGTATAATCCCTTCTCTCTTAGCAGCATCAGCACTTTCTCAGCTTGGTTTTATCATGACTTGGCCACAAGAAGTAGAAGTGGATTCTTGGTGGACAGCAGGGGTTAGGGATGGGGTCGGGATTTTACCTTGCAATGTGAGGTGTCTGCACTATCTTCAAGTAAATATAGAGTATTTATTCTTTTTTCTCATAATATAATGTTTTCCTTTTTATTGCTTCTTTTTAATTGTACAGTATGTTAGGATTTAATTTCAACAAAATTATAAAAGCATGGAATATAATTTTCTCTAATACAGTCCACACTCCTTCTCCTTTTCCTCCTCCTGTTCTCTTCCCTCTACTCTACTGATCTTTCTGCTATTTACTTATAGTTTTTTTTAACTAGTATGTTGTGGATGTACATGTTGGTGAGATTCACTGTGGTATATTTACATGTGTACATAGGAAAATTAGGTCAGATTCATCTCACTGTTCTTTCTTTATCCCATCCCTCCTCCCTCCCTTTCAATCCCCTTCATCTACTCCACTAACATTTTTTATATTTTTTATCCCCTCTCTTCCTTATTTTGAATTGGCTTCCATATATCAGAGAAAGCATTCAACCTTTGACTCCTTGGGACTGACCTATTTTACTTAGATAGTATCCAGTTCTGTCCATTTACCAGAAAATGCCATAATGCCATTCTTCTGTGACACTTAGATAAATCACAATGGAGCACTATTCTTTAACAAGGAAGAATAAGCTGTTTCTAGCAGCCAAGAGCTGTTCAGAGACATGTGGGGATTCAAGGTTGTCACATGAAATCAAGATAGATAGCTGTTCCCACTCCAAGTCTTAGGCTCCTAATCCTTCCCAGTAAGGAGCCTGACCTTGGTGTAGCCAGCTTACAGTGTTTGGGAACTCTGTCTTGACTAGATCTCTTCTACCTTTATAGTTAATTTCTGGGCCTAAGACTCAGTTTTCTCTACCCCCAACTCCAGTAACAAATGTTTCTTTATATACTACCCAGAAGGACTTCTGAATTTCACATTGTGGACAAATTGGTGATTATTCACCACCAGCCTTTATTATATTTTTTCCCAATACATTGATTTATTCAACTGTTCAATTCCATTGTCCTAGTAATCACTCTTCTCCTAAATCCCTTTAACACGTGAGATAGTGCAATGGTGAGAATATTTTCTCCTACTGATATTCCACCCCATGCACTGTTGTTACAGATTTGGATCTTAAATGTTGCTCCAAAGTTCATATGTTGAAGGCTTGTTCCATGGCTTCTGGCACTACTGAGAGGTGGTGGAAATTTTAAGAGGTGGGGCCTAATGAAAACAAGTGAGGTCAATGAGGGTGTGTCCTTGAAGTGGATATTAGGACCCTTTCTTTTATCTCTCTTTGCTTTCCAGCCACTTCTTCTGCCATGTTCTTCCCAATATGCTGTACTGCCTCACACAGGGCCAACCAACCACAGACTGAAACATCTGAAACCATGAACCAAAATAAGTCTTTCTTCCTTAAGGTTGATTACCTCTGATTTTGTCACAGCCACAAGTAGCTGACTAACACAATTACTCATGGAAGTGTTAACAATTGTACTGATGGGTACACCAGGACTATCATGCTTAACACATCACCAGTGACAGGGTCCTTATTGTCAGCTAGAATCCCAGTCAACAGTTATCCCCGATTAAGTTTAGGAGGCCAGGCCTTTGAACCCTGCATCAACCAGTCTTTGAATATGGACAGCTTCTCAGAGAGGGAGGCAAAGCTTGATCAAGGTAACTCAGGGGTGGTTTTGATGGCAGGTCTCAGAAGCTGAGAGGATGAATGCCTTGGTCTGGATCTGGGCTCCCTGACACATATTTCACTGTGATACCTATAGGGACACCCTCACCATCACCGTCCATCCTGTGTCTGCTCCAACATCCTCATACCAGTAAGGCCTCTCCTGGGAACTCTCTTCTTCTTTACTCTGCTTTGACTTTTCTCCAGAATTTATATCCTCTGGAATCCTCATTGATCACTTAACTCTCACCAGACTCTGGTATCACATCACCTAGAAGAGAGCCTGGCCCAAAGTAGAGCCTCAACAAATTAAATACCAAATCTATTTTAAGTGCATACTGCATGGATATCACTGGAATTGCTCCGAGGACTAAAATAAATCATAGGTGAAGTTCTTACGTAGATACAACACTACAAAAAAATGTATAACTATCCATAAATGGAAACCAAGAAATATTTGTGAATATGTTCACAAAGACATATTTGTGAACATGTTCACAAACACATATATGTTGTGAATACAGAGCTGAGGCTTCCTGAGACATTGAGGCAGCACAAAACCTCCTTTCAGCCTCAATTTTTGACATCAAGTCAGAAAGATTTCAATATGTTGCTCAGAGGAACAAGAATGAGTTTATTGGAAGCGATAACAAAAGGGAAAGGGGACTCTCTCAAGGGTCCACTCAGAGGGGAGTGGGACAGCGCATCTTTCCTGCATTCTAGTTTTATTGGGGATCCCAGAGAAGTTTCCATATAGTCTCACCTAGATCCACCTCTTGATTTTTGACTGACAGCAGGGTGACTTTCAAGTCCCCACCGTTATGGCAACTCTAGGTCACCTTGGCCCGTGCTCAGGGATTCTAATTAGATTCTTAACCATACATTCTTACAGATTTTTTGATTAGGAGGACCTATCTTTCTTTATCTCACAAAGTTTCAGGATCTGGTCCTAAAAGACTCCTGAGTTCCTCCCATTGACGTTATCTTGGGCTTGCATTTCTCCTGCAGTAAAGAGGTACTTTGCTAAGGAATGTGACCTATCCTGTCCATTTTAGGATAGGCAGGGTTGCAGGTAAACTGCTTCTTTGAAAAGAAATCTTTGTGGGTAAACATAGTGGGCCCATTTTATAGAATTATTCTCTTAACCTCATGTTCTCACCATCTTCATCTGTCTGTCCCTTAACAAATATGTTTCTTTAAGTAGCATTTGGTATCAGGAAAAGAACTTTGTCTTTTCAGAAAAAAAAATACTGAATTTAATCAATTCAGCATCAGGGAACAGAGATGAAACCTCTTACCTAAAGCTTATGAGCAGTTCTTTGATTCTCAGTAAGGAAGAAGGATTTAGGATTTGCTCTTATTTCTTCCAGCACCAGCGTTTAATTGCAGATTTAACAGAGGCTTAGGCCTATAAAAGATTCACCTTGTTTCTCTGAATATATACATTATTTACTGTGCAGCCTATAAAATATTTACCCATTTTCTCAGCCGGCTGCACTCTGCTCAGCCTTAACTACCTCACTGCTGTTCAAAGCTGACCAAATAGGCGGCTGGCGTTGTTCCAAAAACGGACCAAGCAAGCAGCTGCAAGGGGACCATATTTTATGCATTTGTCAAAGCACATAGCAATCAAGGGTGTTGAAAGCCTTTCTGAAGATACTGGGGTGGGAGGAGGGTCCTTAAGTCCTTCCTACCTCCACCTC